GCACACCACCGGTGCCTGGCTGCACTGCAGATTTCCTCCCTCCTACTAGAAAGGAATCTGGCCATAACCTGCCTTCACCACTCCTTCTCCACTACCTTATTCTTTTGCTCCCCACAGATTACTGGCTCCTCACAGTAGGCCAGACACCTGGTAGAGTACAAGCTTCTGAATTGGATAACCTCAGAACAGTTACCCCTAGTCCGAAAACATCTTTCTCCTGATACCATGGTACATATAGTCGTAAAGATTGTGAGTCATATCTCCTAAGTTTTCCCGGCATCTGCCCCCCTCCCCTCAGCACCTCTGGTATCCATGGCCCAGACTGGTGCTCCATCCTTTGAGCTCAAGAGAGGCTGCAAACAACTACTAATCCACACTTGATCCAAATGACTATGAATGCTCAGTGATATTAAGCACATATTTTGCCATCACTTAATCAATTTTGGCAGAGCGAGTTAGTCCATACTTATAACTATCTTTATATTCAGCACGATAATGCCTCACCCCACTACCTCTGCTCAACTATCACCAACTTACAAGAATACTTCCTTTACCACTACCTCTTACCCTGACCAGCAACTTCTCCCAATATCACCTTGATTGAGGTAATGGAAATTAATGAAAGCCTGTATTAGCAACCTAATTTACTGCCTTCAAAATAACAACAATATAATGGAGGCAATTCAAGCACAGTGCAATGCAATTACAGAATGCTGGCAGGATTTGAGGGAAATTCTCAATATCATGATTGACTAAGTTGATGCACCTGTTAGTACTCATGATGATACTACTAAATTCTAACCTGTCTTCCACTTTTTTTTCCTTTTTTTTTTTCCAACTTCATTTAAGCACTCTTTTCTTTTCTCCTATTCTACTCATATCAATTGAATTAGTGTGGTAACTTTCAGGCCTGTTTGAACAAAATAAGACCATTCTGTTAGGCAACTGTTTCTGCTCTGAAAATAGCCTTCTCACCTTTTTAAACCAGAAGAAGACAGTCAATTTGTATGGGGGAATGGAATAGAACCATTCTAGCCAAACAGGTCCTTAACCTTATATTCACATTAAGGATGATATGGGACTTTGACACTATGTTGTGATAGTTCATGTTCCTGAGAGTGGTATTTCATTTAGTTTCTCGAGTTCTGGAATTTGTAGCATGAAGTGAAAATGCCAATATTCAGTAATGATTAGCTATAATTATCATGATATGCTTAGTTCTTTAGTTTCTCAAATTCAATAGCACTTATTTGGGACAAAATTGTAGTATGCATCTTGCAAGCGCTATACCACTACCTTCTAAACTCTGATCCCTGTTCTGTACCATAAATTCATAATAGCCTTGTACTCGCCGGACCAATTATCGCTGATCTCAGCAATCAGAGACAATCCGCCTCCAGAACGAATAGCATTTTCCGGGCAAGGCCTAGCTTGAGCCAGTTAGGCTTGGCGACCTCAGTAACTGCCGCTAACTGGCACCGGCAATTCTGTTAACCGACCCCACTAACCCGATTGTGGCTTAGCATAATATGGCAATCCTCACCGTGCATAGACCCCATAAGCGATACAAGTAATGGATCCTAGATTGTAATAAACACGGCAGCGCATCTCCACTTCAAAGTTCTGGCTTTGGGAATCCTTACTTGTACTGTACTCGAGTATTTGCCGCTGCACACGGTCGGGGGAAAACCAACACAGTCGGCAAGCATCACTACGGAATGGAGGCCTTACACTACTCGAGTACTCGTACCATAAGTTGAGCATAACGGAATTCATATACCCTGCTATCAGCCCAAGTTCAAATCCAGACGTGGCAACAGTGATTGCGGCTCTGTACGGATTGTTTTGGGTACAAGACCGGGGCTTATCCGCTACAATCCCCTCCCGCAACGTCTTGCCGAGCTTCTCCATGCTAGGAATCTATCTCTCTACTCGAGTACTCGAGTACCAGTATCATAGGAAGTCAGAGTTGTTACGAGTAGTGAGGTCTATTTTATTTCTCCACTTATTTTTATTAACTGGAGGCTGGGTGGGTGTTCTCTCGATATGTTCTCAACACTTAAGCCAATGGGAACTCCGACACCGCTGCCCCTGCTGAAGCCGGATCAGGGAACAAGGATATTGAACCCTGCAGTATGCATCGGAGCCGATCTCTACCCTTTCCTCGACTAGATACCCGGGAATCTTACTCTACGTGTACTAGCAGAAAGGCACCAAACCAATGAGATGGGCCCCCCACTCGAAGTGCAATTTCGATTGAACAGGGGTGGATGCTATCACAATTATCCCATAAGCTGTCGAGACATTCCGGTCCAGTTTAAAATCTGTAACACTAGCCTATTTGAGTAAGGTGTAGTGTCACATGATATAAAACAGAGAAGGCTATTTACAGTGAGATGCGACAAAACATTCATAACATAAGGAAAGATTACACTCCCGACAGCATTTATTTACTGACCAAACCTTCAAACCACTCCCGGTTACTTTTTTCCATCTACATAATATACAGCGAGTATAGGTTGGCTGTTGGTCATAAAAGTGGCTCGGCCGGGGAGGGAAGTTGACGAGTACAGGAGGTTTTGACTAAGCAGAAATGTAGAGTATACGCTCTGAGTCTACTGCAGTCACCTGGGTCTGGGTATGCCGACTGGCTGATGAGGACTGGGGTGCTTGACTGGGCGTAGGAGACGGGTGAGATTGATTGACCATGGGTGAGAAAGAAGGCGAAAAGCTGTAGTTTTGCCTTGGGGTGGATGGCTTGGGTGCGGTAGGAGCAGAATCTGAAGAGTGGAGCGGTGGTGATGGCTCAACTATATCCGAGTCTAAGGTCTCCGATAAGCCAATATCGATGAGTCTATTGGCCAGCTGTTTACGGAAGAGGTAGTGTTGACTTCGCACCTTGTTGTGAGGGTAGAGAGTTTTGAGCAGACGATAGGAATTGATGATAGATGTGTCTAAAAGTCAATAGAATAGAGGATACCAATTGCGGGAGGCTCTCTGCTGCGTACAGTAATAGCTACGCAGCTGATCGGCAATGTCCACACTTTCCATATGATAGTTGTAGTCATTAATAAAGGTGGGAATGGGTAGTGCCTTCCGGGGCTCGTCACCAAAGATTCTTCGTACCATTGCTGCATTTGTGCTTGTTTTTTTAGGCCGACGGCGAATTTGCTCAACCGTGGTATCTATCTCGTGATAGGTGGTCATAAAAAGAACAGAATTATTATCCTGCCAGACTAAGCAGCATGTATTTTCTACCACTGCGCCACTTAAGTAGCCCCAAGGTAGAACCTTTTTTGCTTCTGCTTTCTCAATTTTTAAACAAGGTGGAAAGCCTTGTGCGTCTACTCTTGTGGTGCCCGCTGCACCAGCTCCAACCTTTAGTAGCTCTTGAAAGAGAGGCACATTAGTAAAGTAATTATCCCGTACTAAATTCCATCTCTTTCTCTCTGGTAAGAGCTTAGCAAGCTGAAAGACACCAGAGGCAGTCGGGGTTAGGTGGTCCAATTTCACCAGTTCAGCAATGCCCTGTGAGACTGAATACCAGAGAAACCCATATGTGTAGCCATGAGAGCAGAGGACAAATATCTTATAGCCCTGTTTGATTGGCTTGTTCTTGACCTTTAGAGTATGTAGACTTCGTCCACAGAACTTAACCATCATTTCATCTATCGCCACCTTGGTTCTAGGAAGAAAGTATTGTTAAAACCTCTCTTGGAGTTGGTCTGCCAATGGGTTAAGCTTTTTATACCAGTTTTTTCGATCGAGTTCAATTGTGGGATCTGAAACATGAAAATACTGCTTGATCTGCTCGTATCACGTGAGAGACATGGTATTTTTAGAGACTCTATAGTGGCGGGGTACTGAGAGATAGCGGTGGCGGAGTACAGGATGCAGTGAAGTCTTTCGCCAACCATTTCTTGCTTCCTTGGACCAATGAAGAGCATTAAATGGTTCTCGGTGGAGGCCCATCTTAACTGTCAATCCAAACCAGACCTTCAGCTCACCAGCAGAAGTGGTAAACCATTTCCAAGATCCTTGGCTACTCGTTTTAAAAACTGACTTCCCTTGCGGTCTTGCCTTCTTACCCCTTGCTGTCCTCCTACTTTCTTCCTCTTCATCTCCACATACTTATTTGTATTGGCGGCCAGCTCCACAAAAGTTTCATCGGTAAAAAAGAGTGAAAATAAAGCATATGGATCATGCTCGCACTCTACTGGTACCAAGGCCTACTATTGGATTTAGCTTTTACAAATACGCTCTATGCAGAAGCAGGATTATACCTCTGAGGAGTGCTCTGAATAAGGGGAGTGGAACGGCTGGAATTGGGGAAGAGAAGGAAGTGACTAGGCATGGGCACGCTGCTTCAATGGTAACCTTTTTTCTTGTAGAAGAGGAGTAGGAGCTATCGGCAAGCTGGTAGCTTGCTTTTGCTGTATTCGTTGCCTTTTCAAAGGATGAGTTGAACTACTCGCCGAGTCACCTGCATTGAGTGGAATATCCGCAAGAGCTTTCCGCTTTGGTGGCATTTTGATATTGGCTGCGAGGTTTTCCTGTCCTGGCTGTGTTATTGCTGGATGAGATGAGGTCAAGAAGGTGCTCAAGACTATTCCTCAATAGGCTAGTGTTACAGATTTTAAAATGGACCGGAATGTCTCGACAGCTTATAGGATAATCCGCTTAGGTTCCTAGAAATTCAGTCAGAGAAGGATACTCATGAGTTGAGAATGTCTCGCTACATGTGTTCTAGTGCCACTCTCCATGAATCAGAAAATACCGTAACCCTATAAAAAGCCTCAGCAGTTCCTGGTTCTGCATTGTCCCCAGAGCACTCTAGCATCCATCAGTGCTCCAGGATTCATTACTTCTCTTAGGATATCTAAGATAATCGAACGTTTGAATAGGTAACTCTCATATTCTTTCAAATAGAACCGGAAGCTAATATCAGGGTAGCACACTAATCACAACCGATAGCTAAGCAAGCTTAATACCCGCGAACCATGGGTTCAACCACATCAACACTTCGAGCTTCGACCATAATTCTCCTAGCGTTAACACCCCAAGCGCTAGCGGCAGATGGTGCCGACTTCTCAATCAATTTGTTCTCCGACCTGGCCCCCGTTCTGGCTCTCTTCGGAGAGCAAGTTTCCAAACAGTTCCTGTCCCAGTCCTTGACTTGGCTGGAGGACGTGATATTCGCCATGGCGCCATTGGGGATTGTAACGGCAATATTAAGCGCAGTACGAGTCGGTGGGCCAAACTGGCTTAAGGCAGTTGTCGGGAGGGCTAGGGGAAGCAGGGCAGTCGCAGAGGTGGAACTCATGTCCTCCACCTCACACGAGGTGTGCGAACTTTGGAATGGGGAGGCCATCGTTCGGGTCATGGGTTCTCCAGAAGTTGCCGAGATTCTTTATTTCAAGGATGGGACGGATGGACAGGGAGGACCTAGGTTTCTTACACTGGAGGCAGCTAAAGAAAATGGAATATTGAGAAACACTAAAGAAAGGAGGATGAAGTATGGCCCAACCCTGCCAAGAGATGCTACTCCAATCAGCACCCCTAACATATCGTTGAACATCTGCGAAGCCAACGAACAGGGAGAGTTATGGCTATTTGCTATTCTAGGCATTGTCCTTCAATTCGGTTGCTTGATCTTTATTGGAATCACCCGCTTCCACCCCAAGATAAATTGGAAGGACCAGAATTCTGAGTACGCTTACCCCCTTATGGCATCCGGGACTCTGCTTGTAGTTATGGGGATGATGGCATGTTCGCGCGCAGTGCAGGCCTCATCCGAAGAGGATATATGGGTGGCCGAGAGGAGCTTTAGGATTCTATGGGTGCAAAAGAGTTCGCGGGTCAATGATCAGCACTTCGGGTCATATGCACTACTTGGGGACGGGGAACGCAAGAAAATTATTACGTCTCGTCGCAGAGCTCACATATACGCCTCCCGGATCTTTCTTAGCACTCTGGCGGTTGCTGGATCATTCGTCTGCATTGCCGGCTTTGTCACCCAGTTTGTCGGACTTCGTGCCCTGCATTGGTCAGCCTCCATCGCACAGTTGGTTGTAACATTGACAATGACTGCTATGAGAACCTGGATTCGTCGAAAAATGTCTGAGCAGCCACGACCCATCATGCTCCCGGTTGATAGTTGGATCGATAGGCTCACACTGACCTTTGGGACATCCCCAGATAGACTATGGGACACAAGAAACCCTTACCCCCAACATACTTCCCATTCTAACTGGGAGGTGATAATCCTCCATAAGTATATTGGGTATGATGATGCTCAAAAGGCACATAATGCTCCTAATAAGCACTCACAAAATATCACCAGGATGCGAATGGGCCTTGGATATTCTACGAGTTGGAACGGGAGCTCGGATCCCTTTGTACAGGAACTAGACACCTTCCTTCAGTCTTTGCTGTCCTATTTTACGACCTCGGAGGATGTATTTCTTGTCGACAGCTTCAATCATTCTGGAGTTTTTCGTTAGGCACTGTCGGTCAAAGTCGATAGGATAGAGCAGTGCGTAACTATGACTGCCACAAGGATGAATCCGTCCCCATGGATTGTGGATGCATCCGAGCTTCGCGCCGTGATCTCCCTTTGGTGTTACGGAGAGAATCCGTCGCGCATTAAAAATCCCTACAGGCTTCCTTGCCCCGGGGATGACCCTCGGGCGGTCTTACGAGTACTTGGGCCGGCAACTCGCCGATTCATTAGTGATTGCGAGCAGTGGATGGATAGGGGAGGATTGTTCGCGGTGGCGGATAATGGCTGGCTGCGGGGCGGCTCAAATCAAGCGCGAATCATGGGTGTCAAGGCGCAGGAGCCCCCCGAGGCAATTGCGGGTCATATCGACGATACCACCGATCCCCAGACGGATTTTGTTGCATGCGATCACATCCTCGGGACCCAGCCAATTGACAACGATGGATGTAATAATTCACTCATTTTCGTATCCACGGTCCCGCTTAGACAAATGTGCGCTCAAGACATATTATCTTCGTTCTTGTGGGCAATCGTTGGTACTGTTTACTTCATCAATAGCGATATCCAATCCCGAAGCGCAACTCCCCTAGGTCTTGAAAGCATACACGACGAACAGCCCGGTTCCAAGCTTGAAAATTCTTCTCTCCTCAAGCTAGCCGCGATAATCACGAATTCGGGGGTAACCAGTAACATCCAGGATGCTTATGCACTCATAATTCCACCTTTCGCTACCGCTGACAAGCTTCCCCGAACACCTTCCAACCAGTTAACCCATGACGAAATTGAGCCGATCTGACCCAACCCGACCCGAATGATTCCCCTCCCGCGGCATGTACTTTTATGATATACCATACCGGTCCTGGACCTTTCTCCTTTTACTTTACTTGACCACACTTCGTCTATTTTCTTCTGATTTCTATTCTGTTTTCCCAGATTCCTTTTGTCCCGTCTCACTTGCTATCTAATGTGTGGTCACCAGGGGGGGGGGGGTGCCACAATAGAACCTTCCTAGCCAAAAGTAATGATCAAGCAATGAACCCACGAGCACTGTGGGGATAGAAATAGGACTATGATGTTTTTCCAAAAAACCTAGATTGTGTGCTCCGGGTTTTAGTTAGTTCAGTTTGGCTTTATTACGTTCGGGGAGGGGACTATTTCGCAGTTTTTTATCGGAGGCAGCAAGACTGAAATCCGGTTCCCAGGACGGTGTCATACCCGCAAATTCGAACGTCGAGATTCCCACCCTGGTCATTCACCCCCACCCTCTCAGTTTTTAGAATAGATAGATACGTGTATCGGCCAGGTGGAAATCATGAAAAATCACTCATCCTCCCCAGTCCTAGTGGGCGAGGCCCCGAATACCCGGGAACCCTCCCAGAATCCTCTCTTTGCGTTTTCGACCAGGCTGGAAATATACATTGATTCCGTTATTCCCTCCTCTTTTGCTTTATCCAGCTCTGCCGGCCTCGTCACTCCCGAGCTGGTAGGATCGATCCGACTATATAGGTCCCCGGAACAACCCCTCAAGGCGACTAGTGCAGCGCCATGCCATACACAATTCAATAGACTCTACTCCAAACCCACCAACCGGGACCGCACGTTCCTCGCCCTGCACACCCAACTCACGAAACGGGCTGGCCGATTTGGTACTGTACTCCGCTTTAGATCCAATGTCCGTTCCTATAGAGGTAGTAGTGAATATTGAAGAGATGAGTACTGGTGGGAGGGAGTGAGTACAGAAGTGGTTAAATTTTTGCAATGCGGTCTTTCTTACATGATGTTTGTTGTGTGGATTCTTTACTCCCACATTGTATTTGATCTGTTGAATGACGGATTTTGTAGCACGGTAACTTAGCGGTCTATAGTATGATAGTAGATATGGCAATGAGAGGGATGATTGAATTTTCCTCCTTGCTGACTGGGTAAACCTACCAGCAAGGTAGGTGATGGTGCTCTGCACCCCATCTACTATTTACTAGAGTTCAATGTATAACATTACCTTTTTTTCCTATTAGCTGTTAGCCCTGGGCGGGCGGTTAAAATAGCTTAGGACTTTAATTTCTCTTCACAAAATGCGCTTTGCCGACGTTTAGACAGCCACCGTCGAAAGTTTCTTGCACAATAACACTATTATTGTGTCTATCGAAATGAAGTCTGCATGCACAGCCTTCTTTTCGATGTAACTTGCTGTATCAGCGGTATGTCTAACCTTGTGCACCGGCCAACTCTCGTCAATCTCTTTTGACCCAATGCAGTCCGTTTTTGACGGACCGTATGACTGGAAGTGCTGGACACGGCCTTGCCGGCAAATGGCGAAGAGAATTTGTCTCATGGCCCAGGCCTCCCTATCAATGTGCCTGGGTCAGCACTACACCGCCCAGACAAATCGCGCATAATACAAATAAAATTAGTAAAATTAATTTGCGACGAAAAAAAGGTAGAGAGAAAGAAAAGAAAAATGGAAATCATCTAGTAGGTGAATTTCGAAATTTATTCGCGAGGCGAGTAAGGGTTGTGAAGTTGTTATCGCTGACAGGCTAGATTCAACATATCATACATGTAGTAGCCATGGTTCACATTCCCGACATCCGAACTGTGCTGAACTATGTCATCGGACCATCCCACTACACTCTACCATTACTTTGCGCCCTACTCCAGTACCGGGAACATTGACATGGCACGACATATCTATACTAGTCCACCAGCCTTGCTCAAGCTATCGAAAGAAGAAGAAAAACCTACATCCATCAAACGAAAACCCAAAACGAGACCAACAACGCACTTCAAGTGCCAACAACACTAACTGGTCGTTCGCTGGAGTTACTTTCTTGCTCCGGTTGTTCGCTGAAAACCAGTGTCAACCATATATAGAGCGTTCGGCGGGATAGAAAAATCCATTACTATACCATATTAAAAAAAAATATTGACAACTATATACAGACTTCCAAGTTCAGCACAGCTTCCGAACTCCAGACTCATTCCTTACAGGTCCCTATTCCGAATACCAACTAATATTCTAGGCCCAATGCCTTTCCTGCAATATACTTTCAATGCATTCATGATAATATATATGTGTTCACGACCCTTCCAACCACTAATTCGGCGAAGAAGACCGAACCAGATATTCACCTATATTTGAAGTGGTTCCATGGATTTTACTTTCTGACCATTTGGTCACTTATATCCAAAGTTAAAGGACACCCAGTGGAAGCTCTCGATGATGTTTGGGCTCCGGATATTGAAGGAGAGGTTTTGGAAAGGCTGTGGGCGTCTATACCTAGGAGGGTGGCTGTTGTTTTGAGTGCAAAGAGATGGTATACAAAGTATTAATCCTTTTTATTCTGTAACCTTACTCGAGAATTTGCTTATATTTGTTGAATCTCAACCTAGGTTTTCACTTTATTCTGTGTAGTTGTGGTTGCATAAGTACTAGATCTATAGTGCTGGCAGGGTTTCAGTTGTCGCACGAAATAATTTGGGCCGGTACTGTACCGCACTTCCACAGCCGAGTTGAAGTTGGAAACTTTCTATGGGAATTGCCACCTTGTGTATCCAACTTCAACCCAGCGGGGGGAGTATGATACTTCATGCTGACCGGACCAGGTTATGAAGTTCGAGTGATGCCTCGTGAGTATTTTTTTGGGACAGTAAAGGTCGGGACCACTTCCGAGAGGACGTGGTGATTACTTGAGCAACACGTTGAGCGAGGACTTTGTTACTGCTCTTACACCTGAGCACAATGCGAGCGCAGTGTTCGAGCAGTTAACTGGACCACCGTATTTTGAAGTTCAGAACCAGCCTGGGGGGGTTACCACCGTACCATCTCGCCAGATCGACCATCGCTGAAGCACCTCCAGAAGGAATAGTGCTTTCCAGACGAGGTCTAGCTTGGGCCAGCAAAGCTTGGCAATCTCATAAACTGGTACGAGTATCATATTCGCAATTCTGTTAACCGACCTCGCTAAGCTGATTGTGGCTTAGTGTGGTAAATTCTCACCGCGCATTAGCCCCCTATAAGTTAAGCGAGCCGGGACCCCCGATCCACGATACAAGCAGTGGATCTTAGCGTGTGATAAACACTGTAGTGCATTTACCTCTCAAACTTCCGGCTTTGGGAATCTTTGCTTGTATTTCCCGCTGCCCACGACTGGGAGAACACCAATAATGTTGACTGGTCGAGTACCTGTACTGCAGTCTGCAAGTATAATCATACAAATACAACGTAATGTCTCTTCCACTTCAGCGCTAATTAAGCACAGCGGAACGCCTGGGCCCCGCTGTTAAGTTCAAGCCCGGACGTGGCAGCTGTGGTTGAGGCTCTGCACGCGGTTTTCTGTTCAAGTTCTTGGATTGATTTAGGTACGAGACCGAGGCTCATCTGTTATGATCCCCCTAGAGCTCCTGCAACGTCCTCTATTGTTATTCCTTGCCGCGGTTCTCCAAGTCCATACTTGTACCTAGAATCTCTCTAGGAAGTTGAAGCTGTTCAAGTACGGTACCGCGGTGAGGTCTATTTTATCCCTCCACTTATTTGTCTTGGCTGGAGGCTCAGAGGGGGGGTGGCCCCTGCTGAAGCCGGATCGACGAACAAGGATAACAAATTATTGAACCCTGCGGTACTGTACAGTACCGTACTCGAGTATGCATCGGAGCCGATCTCTACCCTTTCCTCGACCGGATACCCGGGGATCTTACTCTACGTGTACTAGTAAAAAGGCACCAAACCAATGAGATGGGCCCCCACTCGAAGTGCAATTTCGATTGAATAGGGGTGGATGCCTTCACAATTGTAATCCACTTAGAAATTCAGTCAGAGAGCGACACTCGTGAGTTGACAAGATCCCCCCCACATGTGTTCTAGCACGACTCGCCATGAATCAAATAACAGCCCTATAAAAAGCCTCAGCAGTTCCCGGTTCCGCATTGTCCCCCAAGCACTCTAACATTCGACAATGCTCCCGGATTCATCGCTTCTCTTAAGAAATATCTAAGATATCGGTAATCGGACGTTTGAATAGGTAACTCTCATATTCTTTCAAATAGAACCGGAAGCTAATAGCAGGGCAGCGCACCAATCATCACAACCTATAGCTAAGCAAGCTTAATACCCGCGAACCATGGGTTCAACCACATCAACACTTCGAGCTTCGACCATAATTCTCCTAGCGTTAACACCCCAAGCGCTAGCGGCAGATGGTGCCGACTTCTCGAACAATTTGTTCTCCGACCTGGCCCCCGTTCTGGCTCTCTTCGGAGAGCAAGTTTCCAAACAGTTCCTGTCCCAGTCCTTGACTTGGCTGGAGGACGTGATATTCGCCATGGCGCCATTGGGGATTGTAACGGCAATAGTAAGCGCAGTACGAGTCGGTGGGCCAAACTGGCTTAAGGCAATTGTCGGGAGGGCTAGGGAAAGCAGGGCAGTCGCAGAGGTGGAGCTCATGTCCTCCACCTCACACGAGGTGTGCGAACTTTGGAATGGGGAGGCCATCGTTCGGGTCATGGGTTCTCCGGAGGTTGCCGAGATTCTTTATTTCGAGGATGAGACGGATGGACAGGGAGGACCTAGGTTTCTTACATTGGAGGCGGCTAAAGTAGCTGGAATATTGGAAAATGTTGAAGAATTGAAGAGTGACCCAAACCTGCAGGGAGATGCTTCAATCAGCGCCCCTAACATATCGTTGAACATCTGCGAAGCCAACGAACAGGGAGAGTTATGGCTATTTGCTATTCTAGGAATTGTGCTTCAATTCGGTTGCTTGATCTTTATTGGAATCACCCGCTATCACCCCACGATAAATTGGAAGGACCAAAATTCGGAATACGCTTACCCCCTTATGGCATCCGGGACTCTGCTTGTAGTTATGGGGATGATGGCGTGTTCGCGCGCAGTGCAGGCCTCATCCGAAGAGGATATATGGGTGTCGAAGAGGAGCTTTAGGATTCTATGGGTGCAAAAGAGTTCGCGGGTTAATGATCAGCACTTCGGGTCATATGCACTATTTGGGGACGGGGAACGCAAGAAACTTATCACGTCTCGTAGAGCTTACAAATACTCCTCGCGGAACTTACTTAGAACTCTATCTATCGTTGGATCATTCGTCTGCATTGCCGGCTTTGTCACCCAGTTTGTCGGACTTCGTGCTCTGCATTGGTCAGCCTCCGTCGCACAATTGGTTGTGACATTGGCAATGACTGCTGCGAGAACCTGGATTCGTCGAAAAATGTCTGAGCGTCCACGAGCCATGACGCTGCCGGTTGACAAAGATGGGCTCGATGGGCTCACCCTGACCTTTGGGACATCGCCAGATAAGCTATGGGGTGCAGAAAACTCTTCTATCCGACAAAATTCCAATTCTAACTGGGAGGTGATAACCCCCCATAAGTATCTTGGATATGAGGATGCTCAGGAGGCACATAATGCCCCTTATAAAGACGCACAAAATATCATTAGGATGCGAATGGAGCTCGAGCATTCTACGAGTTGGAAAGGGAGCTCGCATTCCTTTGTACAGGAACTAGACGCCTGCCTTCGGTCTTTGCTGGCCTGTCTTATGGGCTCAAAGGATATAACTCTTGTCGACAGCTTCGAGCGTTCCGAAGTTTTTCGTTGGGCAATGCCAGTCAAAGTCGATAGGGTAGTGCAGTGCATAACTATGACTGCCGAAAAGAGTTATCCATCCACATGGATTGTGAATGCATCCGAGCTTCGCGCCGTGATCTCCCTTTGGTGTTACGGAGAGAATCCGTCGCGCATTAAAAATCCCTACAGGCTTCCTTGCCTCGGGGATGACCCTCGGGCGGTCTTACGAGTACTTGGGCCGGCAACTCACCGATTCATTCGTGACTGCGAGCGGTGGGTGGATAGGGGAGGATTGTTCGCGGTGGTGGAAAATGGAAAACTGCGGGGCAACACAAATCAAGTGCGAGTAACAGCGCAGGTGCTCTCCGAGACGATTGCCCGCATGAGGGGTCATACCGATGATACCACGGGCGGGGTCGACATGTATTTCATTTTATGCGATCACGTCCTCGGGACGGAGCCAGTCGATAGCGACGGATGTAATAATTCACTCACTCTCGTATCCACGGTCCCGCTTAGACAAATGTGCGCTCAAGAGATATTATCTTCGTTCTTGTGGGCAATCGTTGGTACTGTTCTCTCCATCAATGGCGATACCCAATCCCGAAGCGCAACTCCCCTAGGGGATCATGAAAGCATGAACGACGAACGGCCCGGCTCCAAGCTTGAAAATTCCTTTTTCCGAGAGCTGGCCGCGATAATCACGAATTCAGGGGTAACCAGTAACATCCAGGATGCTTATGCACTCATAATTCCACCTTTCGCTGCTGCTGGCAAGCTCCCCCGAGGGCCCTCCAGTGAGTTAGCCCAGGACGAAATTGAGTCGATCTGACCCAACCCGTCCCGAATGATTTCTGTCCCGCCGCCAGCACTTTTACCATATGCCGTACCGGCGGTTCTGGAGCTTTCTCCCTTTACTTTACTTTACTTTACTTTACTTCGCCTATTTTCACCCGATTCCTATTCCATTTTCCCGGATTCCTTTTGTCCCGTCTCACCTGATATCCTGATATCTAATGTGTGATCACTAGGGGGGGTCAGAATGGAACGTTTCACGGTTAAACGTAATGATCATGAGTACTGTGGTGATAGAAATAGGGATTTGATGTTCTTTTCAAAAACCCTAGATTGTGTGCTCTGGGTTTCAGTTAATTTTATTATGTTTGGGGAGGGGACTGTTCTGCGCATATTTTTTTGTAGGGATGAACACCTTAGCAATGTATCATATGACTTATGAGGAGACTCCCATCCCTCTTCATTTCTGGACAGAGCGAACGGAACGAACCCTTCGAAAACGCAAGACGAATACACACAATTAAACGAGGAACGAACTCAAACCGCGGGGGCCTATACGGGCGAGCAAGCGGCAGTTATCCAAAGGACCCTGCGCGCTATCCTCACAGAGTCACGATACCGACGTAGATCGGGGGGGTTTTTTTTTGTTCTATTCTCTTTCCTTTTATTCCTTCCGTGTGCGAACCTCTACAAATCTTCTAGTTTTATATATTCTCCTCCGGACTCGACATCGCTCTTCCAGTGCGGCACCGGGGCCGCCGCAACCAGTTGCAAGGGTGAGTGATGGTCTTGGTATCGAGTGTTCCGATAAGCCGAGCAGTGGCACCCCTTTCGCGATATTTGTAGAGTTCCCGGATTTAATATGGAACCTCAATTCAGTCATCCAGTCCGTTAATCTCTGCTCGTTTAAACCATGTCATAATGTCAACCCCCCACAGCACGCGCCGCCAACAAAAGAAGAAAAAATCCATAAATTAGAAGGCTGCTCAATCTCGTTAAATCATAGATATGACCAACATGACAAGCGCACACTCAAGATACAGCTTTTACACCCCGATCGTACACCCACTTCAATTGAGCTCGCTATATCTCCCCCTTCCCAACGAACACCTCACAATCCTGTCGTGTTCGGGGTACGCCCACCGCATTTGTCCTGCCACCTCAGTGATGGTTCCCTCGGATTATGGAGCATCCCGAGTTTTGCCATTCGAAGCAGCAAGGAATGCCCAAAATCTGATTCCCGAGTAGAAGCCACGCCCACAAATTCAAACATCAAGATCCATTCCCGGCTCATTCGTTCTTGTTTGTTTCGGTCTCTGGAGCGGATACAAGTATGGGGCAGGATGAAATCACAAAACATCACTCATGCCGCCCCCTCCCACCCCCCGGCTGTCCTGCATCTTCCCCTCTCGCCCATACCTCCCCGTCTAGGGCAGAAGGAAGAGGGGCACATTAGATAGATAGCTTCGATTATCCTCAGGAATTGCCTGCACAGATCTTGGGAAAGTTCCCGTCAAATGGGCCCCAGCCCACAACTGCCGGATCCAAAATCATCTTCCAACAGCATATCATACCTGACAGGAATTTTTTTGATACGACGACAGGATAACCTTTGGGTCGTAGCCCCAGTGACTGCGCCCGCCCCGGGATACAACTATTTCATTCTAATTGCGCTCCCACTTAAATTGAACTCTCAATATCCCCCTCTTCTCAACGAATAGCTCACAACCCTATAGTGCTCCTCGGGGTATGCCTACCACCCCGGGAATGCTTCCCTCGGATTACCGAATGCCCCCAAAGTCGTCATTGCTCAAGCCAGTAAAATAAAGCCCGGAATTTGATTCCTAAGCAGAAGGCATATCCGCAAATTCCAACGTGGATATTCCCACCCGATCCATTCATTCTTGCTTGCTCACTCCCTAGAATAGATGCAATCGTGTAACATCACTCATGTTGTCCGGTCTCCTCCGTGCTGTCTGGGATGCGTTATATGCACCGAGTGGCTTGTAGTTTTATTCCTGGGCCATTGACGAATTATTTGAGTTTTGTTCCTGGACCAAGAATGAGTGGCTTTTTTGAAGGTAGGTATGGAATGATGGCTGCGCTAGACAAGAAAGTTTGTATATTGTTATTCCCGAGCCGCCCGGACCGATCTGACTGGATAGACTACCGAAACAAACTCAAAGCGAGTCGTGCAATACCCTGCAAAATTCGACAGATGCTTGTCTCCCTCGGGCCCAGCCGACCTACCACCCACCCGGGTCCACCACTCCTACCTAGACGGCACGTTCCTGACCTGCGCACCCAATGCCCGAGACAGGACCACCCGATTCAGTACCATACTTCGCTTTTGATTCTACGCCCGTTCCTGTGGAGGTAGGAGCAGATACTGGAGTGGGGACGAGGACGAAAGTGGCCTCTCGTGGCCGTTTACGGAAAAAAGTACGGTTGTTAAATTTTGGAATTACAGTCTCGCTCGCGTGATCCTGTCGTATGTGGATCTTCCACTGCTCTTGCATTGTGCTTGATCTGTTCGGTAGTATAGCAACTCAAGGGGTTACGATAGTAGACGGGGTAGCGAGAAGTGCAAATAGATTGTTCCTTTTTTCTTCTCGTTCTTGCTCAACGAAGTATGCCAGTTACGGCCGAGGGAGGCGGCTGCGCCCGACACCCTATCGACTATCATAACCTCTATTTGATACTGGTCTTCCTTCACGAATCGACTGTTATGTTGCTAGGCTTTGCTTTTCATGCATCCTTTGCTCTGTCTGCTGGCAGAGTTGGGGTGGGTCGAGTGATTGTCGATGATATCACATCACTACGAGTATTTTTTTTTTAATGATTATCATACTAGGACAAAAAGATTCGTCCGATGCCTTCCTTACACCAAAAGTGATCATCTTTACCACCCTCTCTCACTGCGCGATGTCTATGAGAATCTGCGCAAATTTGTCCATGCATTAGCAAACCTGTGGATAACATGAAGGATATTACAGAATCCTTAAATATTGTAAAGTGATGGAGAAATGGTTGTTTAAGTATCTGGTATTTGTTGCCATGCACTATTTTGTATGGAGCCCCGTATGGTACAAAAATTTAGGTCACTTTCATACTGGTTGATGCAATCATGAACAATGTAGACAGATCCGATTCCTCACACTTCCACTTGTAGAAGTTGGAATAGATAGTCATTCCCTAGCCTATGGAAAGATTTGAAGTGTTTTCGTATAAGCAACGTTGAGAATTGTCCGTTTGAAAACGTCCATTTTTGGTGTAAAACCCCGTGTCGGACGAATCTTTTTGCCCCCGTACTGTATGATATAGCGCCAAAAGTGGTCGTGAAGGGGAATGCATTATCAAACTATAGACCAGCTTTTTTAAACTATCTACACACTGCCAATCCCCATCACCAGTATCATACATGCACACCTTCAGCCCCTCTAATCACCTCCACCCCTCCTCCTCTTCCCCCTCCCGCCACCTCCAGCATTCTCGGTGTTCCTCCTCTTCTTCCCCTCTTTTGCCCAGTACTCGTCCCGTTCCCTCTTTTCTCTCGCGGCCTTCATCTCCGTATTCTCCGCCACCTTCTTCCTGTACACCTCTCTCTTCTTCTCCTTCGCCTCGCGCCGCTTCGCCTCCTTCTCCTTCTTCAGCGTGGCAATCTTGTTCACAAGGTCCCGGGCCTTTCTCTCCTCACTGCTCACCACCACCGCGCGAGAGGCCAAGTATGTAGCCCTCTTCCTCGGCTTCATCTGGTGAATTTGGGAGGCAAAGGGGAGGTCTTTTTGTATAGCCTTTGGCACGCGTAGTGGATTGAAACGGCGAGTGGAGCGCTCGATGGGTTTGTACGTCGAGTCGGCAATCGTGGGGGTTTTGATGTTGAGCTCGCGGCGGACCTCGCCGGTTGTGCGCATGCCGTTCCAGGCTGGGGCGTCCGGGAGCGTGGTATCTGCTAGGAGGTTTGTTACAGGGTTGTAGAACTTTCGCGGCTTGATTGGATACCACGCCCGAAGGAAGATGATGTCGCTCATGAGGACTTTGTCTTCAAAGGTTGCGCGGAAGTGTCCGTCTTGTTTTGCGTTTGCTAGCGCTCGCTTAATCTGGCCGCGGACTCCCGATACAGTCCTTATACTAGCACCCTCGAACTTGGCGACTTCAAGGGAGGAGTTAAACATGTCTTTTATGAAGGCGGTGTTTTTAAAAATCTTGTAAGGTGTGCCTGTCAGCTTTAGCTTTTTGACAATTTCGGTGGATTGATCGACGGATAGGACGACGCCAGTTGCGGAGACGCGGAAGCCAGGGTTTTTGGAGGAGAGACATTGGACAGCACAGAAACCTGTGTTTGGAGCGATCAACGGACCGTAGAAGGTGCCAAAACAGTGCATGTGCTCTGGGGTATACTTCAGCATCCGGTTCCGGGTTCGGGAGTCGGAGGTTGAGTAGATGGGGATGCTTTGGAATCGACGCCAGCCCAGAGAGAAGATTAGTGGATCGTTGGTTTTGAGGATCTTTTTGTGCCATCTGTGCCGTTTGATTCGGACTTGCAGAAAGCCGAAGCGGTCTTCAGTGGCGGTGAGGCCACCGACAAGGATAGGGTACTTTGGGTCAAAGTGAGCGACAAACTCGTATGGGACGTTTGAAAGGACCACTCGAGCATATGTTCCGGCTCTGTGGCCTTCAACCTTGACTCGAGTGGCATCGTCCAATTGCTCAAACTCAGATTGGTTGACTGCCAGTTGCTTCGCAAATTTCGCCTTTTGAGCATCGTACCAATCATCTTCCCCAAATCCCCCACCATCTCTGCCACCGCCGGTCCTGTCGTTGTTGACACCCTCCCGGTCCTCCTCCTCAAATCGAAGTCTGAGCTCCTCCTTCCTTCGGGCGTTCTTCTCACGCTCTTTCTCCAGCGAAGTTTCCTCGCCATCCTCTTTACTCTCATTCCTGCCGCCCTCATCTACACCCCCACCATGGACTTCCCCGGTTTCTAAGTCCTCGAAGGCACCATCTCCCTCATCACCACTATCATCGATACCGGCAAACTCGCCATCTTCCCCTTCAGCCCGCTCTTTCTCTTCCAGTAAGTTCGCAGTGATAAACCGTCTTCTCAGGTCCTCCAGCGCGAACTCTTCACTCCAGTAGTTTTCTAATTTCTCCATATCATAAACTGGTAAACCCCGGTCCGCAATCTTCTTGGAAGGAGGCTTGCTATCATGCTCATCATCAACCTCCTCCTCGACCTTCTTAAAGAAATCTTCCTCACTATCGCTCCCGTCACTGGTATTTTTGGGCTTCTCCTGCGATTTTTGCCCCTGCATGCCTCGCCATTTTTGAATAACTTCAGTGGGAGTAAGGGATTCGTCGTATATCAGTTTACTGAGGTTGACTGTGCGATGTGACTTCGTCCATAGTTGTTTTGCGTTGTCTGAGAGGTCCTGCTTCCAACGAGGGACATCGTCATCGTCCTCATCCTCGTCGGACGGAAGATCGTCCTCGTCGAACTCTTGATCTGAAACCACCGAGACTGATCCGAGATCCGAGTCGCTTTCGGCAAAAGTAATGTCGTCCCCGGCGTCCCCTTGATCTTGATCCCCTCGTAGAGCTTTTCCGAGTTTAAAGGATTTTAATGTGATACCTCCGTTGTCGCTCGCATCATCGTCTTCGCTCCCAGATGCAATGTCTGCATCGCCCATCTCCTCGTCCTCGTCTTCGTCGCTGTAACCTTCTACGCCTGTGTCTTCTTTGCTTGACTGTAGAGCTCTGACACTTCTCTTGTGTTTTCGGCCAACATCTCCATTCTCCTCACCATCATCTTGAACTTGCTTCAGTACCTCACCGCCTGTGAAAAGCCTGACACCATCTACCTCTCCTCGCCTGCCCTTTTGCAATCCAATGACTAGTCTCTCCCCCACTCCCTGCGCCTCCACCCCTTCCTCGAAATTCTGCGAAGGGACATCGATATATACAGCATCCTTATCGACCAAGACACCACCAACATCACTCATAGGAGCATAGATAAGCTTCTGCTTCTCGCCTAACCTCTTCCTGCCTTTCCCCTCCGAAGCAGTTCTCGCAGGGGTAGGACAGGGGTCTGGTAGTGATTCGACACTAGAGACCGACAAGTCTCCAACTCCCGGAATATGTACTCGAGCCCCTTCATTCGGAAAACTCAGGCCGCGAACATACCCATACAACGCAACCTTCCGGTCAGCCTTTGGATCGTCCTCTATCGCTACAGGTTCCGTCAAATCAACCATCCTATCCGCCAACATGTAATAATGTGAATTCCTCCACACCAACGGCCGCGGGTTCTTCATAACAGAGATAAACCTGCTCAAATTATGTATTTCCCTATCAGGGTACCGCCCGTTAATCACCCCGGACAGGTAGAACAGCTTAGCGCCCTGATACAACTCTGACCAGAATCTATGCTTCAGTCGCTTCTTCGTGGTCCGCAGTAGCGACTGTGACCTGAACAGGTCCAAATGTGTAAGGATACCAAAGATATTAGACGGCAACCCATGCGTAGCAATGACATTCAAGAACTCCATAGTCTCCATCTCGAAGCCAAAGTTCCCGTCAATCAGCAGCAGGACAATATCTGCAATCTTCGATATGTCAATCATGGAAGTGAGTGAATTGTCGCATTCCAGGAACGTTAAACGACGCTTCTTGCTTGTGACGACGGTGATAGGCCCTTGGATCGAGGACAGTGTATGCTTGGTGTACCGTTTCACCAGTGACTTTACCAAGGTAGTTTTGCCCACGCCCGGAGGACCGACGACCGCGACGATTAATGGTGGTGGCTCCTCCGGGAGTCGATCCACCATTGGGACATGTAGTCGTTTTTCTCTGACCTATCCATCCCTCGCCAAAAACAATCAGTTATCCATACCCCTCTCCCTACTAATTCGTCTTGTCTTTGCGGATAACGTACATCGTGAGACCTTGTTGCCTGCTTCTGAAGTTTTCCGGGGTTCGCAAAGGCAAACGCTTTCGGGTTCTGTCCTGAACGATTATTAGTAATTGAACCCCACGAATGATCGACGGAGCTTACCTGTGAATTTCTTCTTCTCCTTTGGCTTACGGTGGGTCTTGTTGGATTGGTCCATGATGGCCACTGCGGAGATGTCGCGGAAGCCGAAAGTTTTTAGTTGCGGCTCAAAGTGTTGTTCTTTTCCCGGTGGTAGGCTTGGCGCCAAGAGTTCACCACTCTTCTTGCAGGCCACTGAACAGATATGATATTGGCCCTGTTCGGCATGTACCAATAAAAATATACCGCCATAAAAGTTGAAAATAGCATATATGCTAATAAAAAAATTCAGTGTTGAAAAAATAATATATATCGTAGGTGTTCGGCAACAATTTACAACTATAGAGAACCCTGAAGCAGTTGTCATAAAATAAACATTAGGGTAAATGCAAATGCAAAGAAAATAATAAAAATTGAAAGTTTGCTTCCTAGATCTTCCAGTCAACAACACCACACATTAAACAACACATCAAACTCTTCTCACTCGTATTTGCTGACAATAGTTCCGCAAGATAGGAAATACATACAATAAAAATTTATAGAGGCAATAAAAATATATCATGGTTTAATGTCAGTTACCGAACACACCCCTATATAAAAACTTTAATATGCCAAAGTTTATGCTATAAAAGTCACTTTTATGCTATAAAATTGACGTGCCGAACAGGACCATTATGATATTATCACAACGTCATAACATCAATTAAATCATCTTACCAGAAGAGGTCGTGCAGCGAAGCGACGTTGGCCAAGCCACGTGAAATATCTGGCTTTCGAGCCATTATCCAATGTCGCAATGAAGGGGGGGTTGGATCAAAAAACGATCGAAGGGCACGAATGCGCTTTTTCGAATCGGGGGGATATGATAGAACCCCTTCTAACCCGAAGCAAGTCGAAGGTAAAGAAACAAGTAAAATTATGACAAAAGAAGCAGAAAATTCCTAAATATTATAGAACCCCCCCCTTCTATCCCAATTTTCAGAATCCCCGATTCAATCCCCCGCCCTTCTAACCTCCCGAGTTCGATCACCGAAGGCATTCTTTGCAACATTGATTATACCTCCACAGATATCTTGAAACTCGGATTTGAAAAAAGGACTGAAAAAACTCAGCACGTCCGAAGCATGATACGACAATAATATATACTTATTTCGGCTTTTTTTTATCTCGAGTTCGCAGAACTGCGGGCACCTGAACTGGTTAAGTAAGTCTGGTCGAAATGTATCTTTCCCATACAGAAACCCTCGTCACGGCAGGTACCACGAGGGAAAGAACATTCCATGCCTCACCGCTCCAGGAGGACTGAAGGGAAAAAATCCCAGGCTCTTCCCACCCTCGTGCCGTTATATGATAGCAAATTATTTTCTGAATCCTCTCTCTGCTGTTTCCGCGCGGCTGGGTAACTGTAGCTCCAAAGCCCCGGTTTTTGACCTGTTTTGGCCCCTATCCCGCTGCCAGACAACCCCTCTTGTGACTTAAGGTCGAGTGATACTAAGTGATAGGGTGGACTTATCACAGCTATGTATAGACATTCAGTGTGGAGCAATATAACTATTACCACAAGTTATGCATAATTCATACAACCGTGTCAGGCCTACAAATACTCTTTGGGTCATGTTCTCGAGAATAGAGCATGCGTTAACAGCTCTTTCATTTTAATTTTAACTTTACAATTAATTTAACCTCATTTCCCATCAAACGATCATTGGCACAACGTCCCGTTCCATCCAGACCAATCATCCCTCAAACACCACCACCCTCACGCCACCCTCATACCACAGCTCGTCACGTAAATTTAACTTCCCCAGCAGAGGCATTTAGCTGTAACCTGTCCAAAAATAGTTGATATGAGCTATACCAACCAATTCAAAGGAGACCAGAACCAACTTACGGTAGCAAAGCATGCCGTCGGAATTGTGAATCTTGGTCAGGTCGATACCCTGTCTTTCGCGATGTCCACCATCTCCCTTCCTAACCATGCAGGTGAGTTTGCGTCCATCTTCCTCGAGGCGAATATCTTCAGCGGTATGGCTGAAGTTCTGCATGTCCCATGCTAGGAATCCTGACAGCCGTCGACTGGTTAGTTCTGCCTGTAAAATCAAAATTTTGTCCCTCTCATCAAAGAGTCCCCCGGGAGGCAGGGAGCCCCAAAATAGCACAGATCGAAGAGAGTGTTTACAAACCATTTAGGTTACCAATACAAGTATCGAGATCGATTTCAGAGGTAACCCAGCTACCGTCAAGCTTCATGCACTCAGCACGAAGGGTACGACCACTGTTGATCAAGACTGCGTTACGTGAAGTGTCACGGTAGGTCATTTTTCTGAAGGTGGATATCGGAGAAGCGTATGGGCGTGAGGAGTAAAGTGGTTGCTGCTGTTGTTGCTGTTGTTGCTGTTGTTGAGCAGAGTTCGTAGAGAGTTTGTGAGTTGGAGGGGAAAGCACGGAGACTGCCCCTATTTATGTCCTATAGAGGAGCTCCCCCCTGCCTCAAGTGGATAAATTACCATATAGACATCTTGGAGCTGACGTATGCTCCATGGCGTCAGCTGGAATCTACCGTGCCGCAGAGAGGGAAGCAGTGTTGTAGAAAGAGCATATCAATTCCGGCGATACTTTCCAATTGGCCGATGAGCCAGCTAGCATGTGCTTTGGCTTCAACAACAAGGGATTGCCATGGGCGACACCAACGCTGCTGGCTGACGGGCCCCTGCGTAAAAGCAACTGATTGGCAGGGTGTACAGGGCGCTCAAGCCAGCTACACTCCGGTGAGTCTACAGCTCAGCAGATCCCTCGTACCAACACCGGTATACGGCACTCGAGCAAGCATAGTCCAATACCACACCCAACCCCCAAAGGAGCATCCCGGTCGAGGATGTTAAATCCCTAATAACAACTCGATCGAGCCTAGCTCTCAAAAATCGAATGGTAATCAAACGCAAAAGTATTGTATTAGCACTAGAATTAAGCGTTTGGCATCAGGATGCATTGCTTGTTCTCCGGATTTTGATAGGCATGATAGCTCTTCAAGAAAGTTGCTCTCTAAGGTGTAGCTTCCACACCGGGTTCCCGACGGTTTGGATACCGTACTCTAGGAGTACAGTCGTGTCCGGAAAGTTTTCGTACCCTCGCATGGCAACCGCACAACCACAACCCCCAACCATAAAAATTTCAAAAAAAAAAATGTAAAGAATTCAATTAAAGAAAAAATGATAGTATTGCTAGTAGACAATAAAAAAACATTATTACCATTTTGTATGGCCTCCATTTGCATCCAGTACAGATTGCATTCTCTCAGGCATCCTATCTATCCATCCATCCAACTTCTATTGGGGAATTAAATCCCACTCTTCCTTTGCTGCCTCAAACAATTCAGCTGCACTATGAAGCCTTCTTTCCAGTCTGGAGAATCGCTTGGTAAGGGCTCTTTTGAGTAGTGCCCATGTGTTCTCAATAGGATTGAGATCTGGTGAGTTGGGTGGCTAAGGGAGTTTTTTGTAACTACAGTCTGCTTCCAATTTTTGATTTTCCTCACCACCATGCCAGGAAGCATTGCCCTCAGCAAGGTAGATATTGTCAGAAGGTCTATCCAGACCCTCTATAAAAGGGATAAGGTAAGGCTGGTGGATCTCAGTTGCATATTGGTGAGAGTTTAGGCCAAGTCTGTCTCTTTTACTGGTCCTTTCCTCCTCCCTCCTCTTTCTCACAAGAATTAACTCAGTCTTTCCTCCCTTCATCATTGCAGCATATACTCCAATGCTAGTCCTTCTAAACTTAAAGATAGGCTTTAGGTTTTTTTCTTCCAGCTCTTCACCAGGTCTAACTCTGACCTTTCTGCCTGTTAAATTTAAATCATAAACAATGGTAGCTTCATCCACAAAAACAACTCAATTCCATGCACCTTTCCAGTTCCTCCTTCTCCTAGCAAACTTCCTTCTTTTCTCCTTTTGTCCTTTTCTCCAAAAAGGCTTTTTTTTAAGTATCAGAAGCTTAAAACCAGCTTCTGATATAATCGTATCAATAGCGGTTTTTTTTTTAAGACCTAATATTCGCTTTTTTGGTAATGTCGTGTAATGCTAAATAAGGCTCGGCATTGATAACTGACTCCACTATCTTTCTTTTTATATCAGTAATCTTGGTTGGTCTTCCACCTCCTTTTGCATGGTGAGTGTTTCCACTACTAGATTTAGCTCTTTTGACCACAGACTGAACAGTTAACTTGGATACACCTAAAGACTTAGAAGTTTTGTCATATCCCATATCTGTATGTTTATACAGAGTATAAATTTCCTTTTTTAGGTCTTCTCTTGCTCTTAGGTTATGTAGAGGGGCTATGGTGAGAAAGGGTGTTGTGGTAATGAGGTGTTGTGGGATTGCACCTCAGGGGTACGAAAACTTTCCGAATACAACTGTACAACTGAGGATGGTGTGTTGATTCCACTACCTCTTTGGAAAAGTTGGATTCGGACTAGAGTGAGTCTGGCCAGTTGTCTTTCATTGTTCACTAAAAGTGTTGTAATTTAGGATCTTCTTGCCCTGTGGTTGGCTCTCCTGCCAAAGCCTCCAATCCGACATTTGCCAAAAGCTACAGGTATGATACTCTACTGGTGCTCTTACTATACCGACATGACATTATACTGATATTTTCTATACCATACATAAAACCCAGGGACTAGCTAAAAATATTTGTATCTATTATAATAACTGTTGTAATAACGAAGTAATAATAATAACTACAATAAAATCTAAAGACTTAAAAATTAATCCAAGCTTGGATACTCTCTCTAAGAACAGGGCTGAACCTGCTCTTTATATACCCCTTTATCATTATATGAGCACTACCTCATATTAAAGAAATCTCTAGAAAATACTAGAATACAATAGTATATATACTAGGTCATATGGCTTTATCACATGACCAATACAGCCCCATTACCGGATAGGAAAGGAATAACATAATTTCCAATACTTCCCCTATGGTTTCATTCCTAACCTAACTGTAACCGGTACGAGTACTTGGTTATTGGTTTTGTTTTATGTTTTGTTTTAAGTATCGCTTTGATACTTGGTTTGTTTTAAGTATTGTTTGATACTTGGTTTTGTTTTATGTTTTGTTTTAAGTATCGCTTTGATACTTAATTAGTTTCACCAAAGTGTATTGATTGATACCTTTGATTAGTTTCGTTCATGCTAGACATGAACAGATTTGTGTATTTAAAGACCCCCTGTTTCTACGATAGAAGAGGCAGACTTCGATAGACAGTATTTCAATATAATTGGTTAAATGGTTACTTCTTTGTTCCTCAGTACACCCTCGAAGCCTCCTTTAGTTCTCAGCTCTCGCCTCCTCTCTGGAAGAGGAGGCCACCTGCCAACTATCGTATATATTACCGATAATGTGACTAGCACCTTGCGAACACGTTACATTTTTTTAACCTCAGCAAGTGGTTAAGAACCTGTCCCCGGATTTAGGCCTGATCAACCTATCGATATCCACCTCAGAACGCTAGCGGAGAGAAGCGGCAGAATTACGGCATATTCGGCTTCATCTCAAATCCAACATAGAGTCTTTGACGACTAGGAGTGGGAAGCAGATCCCACGACAAGACCTTACAAGAAAGAAACATCCCTGGCGCTCTGCTAAAGAGCCAGGAGAACCCACAAACACGGAAGATACACAACCCCCAGGAGAATTTCCTTCTACCCCAGCAAGAAAGCCTTCCTTTGATCCTCCAATCGATCCCGAATCCAGTAGCGAATCAGATATGGCTAGTACAGGAGGAGGACCTTCTGGAGGAGGAAAATCTCATGCTCAAGAAGAGGAAGTACCCACAACATTTGAACCTCCTAAGTTTAAACTTCACCTCCCAGCAAAGTTTACAGGCGAAGAAAAAGACCTCAAACCCGAAGATTTTGATCGATGGGCGACAGAACTCTCACACTATCTTCTCCTGCAAGGGAAAGATGTGGAAGACCCTATAACCGGACTTTACATTGGATCATTCTGCGAAGGAAAAGCAACTGACGCATACCACCAATGCTATAAGGATTATTGCGGAAATGTGAGATTAAGAGGATCTACTGTCCTCGATTATCTGAAAGGACAATTCCAATCCTCTATCACCAACGACCTCTTATACAACAAATTCAACCAGCTCCAACAAGTTAATGGAACACATGTCAAGAGGATTACAAATGTAGCCATGGATCTATTGATGTATAAGGACCGAATAAAGAAAGGAAGCATTTCCAACTACATCCTTAAGCGACGATTCTATGATACAATGCACCCTATCCTCCGACGAGAGGTGGAACCACTCGTGGAAGACGATAACGATATTGCAGTAATAATTGCAAGAGCAGAACGGAAGGACGCCATTCTCCATGAGACCAAGGCATACAAAACACAGACATCCTCTAGCAGGAATAGCCAGCCACGACAGAAACCCTCCAGCAATTCCGAAGACGATACCCCACGAGTTTTCAGAAAGAAAACTAAATCCTCCAAAGAATCGAGATGCCAGAAAGGAGAATGTTTTGAATGTGGAAAAACAGGACACATGACAAGGAACTGCCCTTCGAAGAAAGGAAAAGGAAAAGCAATTAAGCAAGAAGCATCGGCCAACAATGTTGAGAGTGATAGTGATGATGCCCAACCCAGCGAATATGAGGAGATCCATATCGGATACATCGATGCGGAATGCAACAGTGTCTGACCTCCGGCTACATTCAAGGCACACACCACCCTGGAAGGTACTATTCTCATCAACGGCAAAAAGGCTCGAGTCCTATTCGACACTGGCACGATCGGAAGAGACATGATCAGCAACACCTTTGTCTCTGTCTATGGACTTCCAACTCAAGATCTTAACCAACCCATACCAGTCAATATGGCAGTTAAGGGATCACGATCCACAAGCCATAAAACCTGCAGGGCAACTATTCGACTTACCTCTGCCATCCTACCCCCCCAGGAAATGTTAGTCGGAAACCTAGCCAAATACGATGCCCTCATAGGAATGCCATTCCTGAACTGCCATAAAGCTATAATCAGGTGTGGGGACTCAACCATCGATTTCCCAGATTAGAAGGTCAGAGTCTCATGCAAACCAATAAGTGGAGAATACCGAGTCGCAGTCTGTGAAGCAACTGCCCAACGCATATTGGATGAATACTCTGATGTTTTCCCTGATCAAATTCCCAAAGATCTACAGCCTATGAGAGAAGTGAACCACCACATTCATCTCCGAGATGCCTCTAATCTTAAGAACCAACCCACCTACTCTATCCCTGACGCATACAAAGGTCCTCTAGGTGAC